GATAGTTATAGGCATTTTGAGTAGTGGTAGAATTTTATATATTGTAGTAGACATCATTTCTCTCTAAATCCATTATCGATATCTGTGTTGATTTTTAAACAAGTTACCCAGGCAATTGATCTTTAAAGGCCAATAAGAAGAACCCCACCCTATGAGTACAACACATCCATGCATATATATTTATATATATATACATATTTTATATACGTTCTATAATTCTATAATTCTATAATAGTTTCACATATCTAACTTCCATCCAATCATAACTTGAAATTTGTTCACTAACCATTCTAGTTGTTGGTTAATCATCTGTAATTTCATTACTACGTTTTTGGATAGGTTTGCTTTTTTAAGAAACAATTGCTTATCCCGATCATAAGCTTAGGATCAGATTAAAATTTAAAAGAAAAGATAATATTATAAAGATACAATGAATTCAGAATCCTTAGACTTTGTAGCATTTAAAATAGTGCTATTTTTTAGCAAAATAGCTAGCAGCAATTGTCTTGTGCTAAGATGCAAAATTTGCTACTTTTGCACTAAACATGTGATTATTACCTTTGTTCTTGGATAAATGAGTAATTATGTGCATATTTTAGATGATAACCGAGGGACACACTGAAATGATAGATGAAGAACTCGCAGAAAACAAAAATGATTACATTAAAATTTATACTTAATAAATATAAATTGATAATAAGCTATTTGCTTAATTTTTGCTAATTATTTTTGCTATCAATGTTCGGGGCCTTGAATGAATTGGTAAATAGATTTTTTTTTTTTGATTTTTTTCTTTTCTAATACAATTTCAACTTATAGTAATTAATTTTTAATATATAGAAAATGAAATTGATCAGTTATGCCAAGAGATTTTACATTATCATATCATCAATCTAGGAGCTCCCTAACTGGTAATGTCTTAACTATCCCAAGTTTAGTTGGGATTTTCAAGTCTATTGTGTGTTTATCACACTTTCAAATTGTATGTTTTGTGTCCTTACAGTTATCTTGAGCAATAAGAACAGCTTTAATAGTTTTGTGTACAAAGACACCCAGTTTTGTGAAAATAGAAGAACCTTTCTTCAATTTTGTTTGGTCGGTCACCCTTAGATAAAGTTGTAATAATAATTTCCAAACATCATCAGTAACAAATTCATCTAATTCATCATATGGTTCTTTCACACTAGTTATTTATTGATTTTTTTCATTTAATATAAAGAACAATTAAATAAATATATTTATATTTTATTTTCTATTACAAACCTTTCATAAATTGATCTGAATTTACTTGTTAACTTCATGACTGATGTATGAAAATTATGACGGTACGTGTTATACCATCCACCAACTTCTTTAGCCAAAGATCCTAATCTTGGGTCAGTTTTTGGAATTTTACAAACTTGTATAATAAGTTCTTCATATAGTACCATACTGTTATTTCTGGTTCGTAGAAAAAGAGCCTTACACTCCTCTTGGAGCCGATATTTAACATGCTAAATCTAAATGAAATTAGTATAATCATTATTGTTACAATTATTGTGGTGAGTGAAGCTAAAATTTTGATCTATTTATTAAAATCGTTGTAGTAAATATTTGGATTAAAATTTACTTGATCGATTTCTGAAATTTTGACACTGATTCATATATTAAGATAGATACTGGAGCTGTATTGTGTTCTTCATCTTCTATCCTAATCATTATCCCATTTCTAATATTAATCGCCAAATCTAATATTCTTCTATGATGAGCCAACCACAATGCAATTTCAAACTCATTATCTATTGTTTGAAATTGGTTTGGTCATTTTGGCAGCATATTATCTATTATTTAATAAATGAAATTAGTGATAGAATCTAGTTAAAATAATAAAACAATTATTAACTATGTATTATTAATTATTAATTTAAAAATGATTATTAATGAATACTATGCAATTAATATTAAAAATCTATTATTATGCATGAATTTTTCAATAAATATGTTAGTTATAACACAATTAATAGATTTATTATTAATAAAAATAAATAATCCCTGCATTGATTACTCAATAAAAATTATTAATAAATAGCTAGTAATTTGAAACAATTCTAACTCCCAACTATAATTTTTATTGTTTTAAGATATACCTGCAGAAAAAAGTTGAAAAGACGTAGTAACGTTGTCAGTATCGTGTGCTGGCAAAGAGACTGAAAGAAACAGATTCTCATTATCACTTCTGTGATTTGGCGAAGAAGTTGAAGGTGTAATATTATTATTACTTTCATTATTTTTTAAAGAAGAAGTAGCAGATGTATTATTATCATCACTTTCATGATTTTTTAAAGAGGAAGTAGTAGGTGTATTATTATCATCGCTTTCATCACTTTTGTTATTGTTTCTTTTACTTATAGTTTTAGGCTGATTTTGTTGAAATGATGATTTATCTGACAACAGCTTTTTGTATATATACTGTTAGTACTAAATCATTTTGATTATTACGTTTTAAAATCCAAAGTTATATATATTAGAACTTATAGCATTCTTATTATGTTGCCTTTAACTATATCTTTGCATTCTTTTGGTAGTCGAACCTGTAATAGAGCTTGTAGCTCGTTGGTTTTGATTATGTTTTTGCATTTTCTTGGAAGCTGAACTCATAATTTCGTTGTCTAAAGAATCGATGATATTGAATTAGATAAATATACTGGGAAAATTAAATATTTTTGTATAACATACCCAATCGGCTTTCAGTTGTTATTCCTTTTGGTGCTTTTAATTCTATTATAAAGTTTACTAAAACAGATCATTTCTAAGTTTCAAAATTACTTTAGCTTACCAAATTTTCGTTTGGGCATATTTGCAGTTAAGTAGTATCGTAATACTATGTATCGATTCAATAATTTTTTCAATACTCTCTTTCGTCTATTCTTTCACAACAAACTTATTAAGTATCAAGCAAAAGAATTTAATCTCTCGTGATCAAACCTTCTTAATTTACATTGTTATGCAATGCTTATTACATAATAGATCATTATGCATCTGTCAGAATAAACTATAAACTTTTGTACTGCATAATCGTCGCTTATTTTACGAATTACAGTAAATTAAATGACTGCTTAAACCAATTTAATTTTATATTATTTATACAGTTTAAAATACGGTTTAAAAAAAAATAAAACTACAAAAAATAAACAAAAAAGAAGTATAGTCGTACCCAGGTTATATCTCTTTTTTTCAAGAGCATTTTTGGAGATATAACTAAGGTACAGATATACTCAAAGATACAAAATATATAAAAACATATAAAAGAAGAATTTTTTTTTGCTTAAATATAGTGATATAACTCAGATTGGGATATAACCCAGTGGGGATATAACACAGGTATAACTGTATATAGAAAGTTTTATTAGAGTTGTAAGACTCCAATATTAAAATAATCAAAATCATTTCTGGTTTTAGAGAAGTTAGCCTAATTTTATCTATTTTTAAAGAAGTCGCTATTATGTCAACTTCTCTAAAACCAGAAATATTTTTAATACTGGAGTCCTACAACCCTAATAAAACTTTCTATATGCTTCTTTTTTGTTTATTCTTCATAGTTTTTTTTTTAAAAAAAAGTACTTTAAATTGTATAAATAATGTAAAATTAACATACTAAAGTCTTCCTATGAATAACCAGGCCTACCGAATACGTAATTGATTATTGGGCAATTAATGCAATTTTTTGAATTAAATTAATTGATTATTGATGTAGCCACAATAAGTCAATTAATTGCAAATTTTACGTTGGGTTTATGGGATTACTGGAGTTAAAAATAGGTGATACTTAACTGTCATATTTAATAATTTATTAAGAATTAATTTTTTTCGATATATTATAGCATATGACATTTTAATTTTTAGCTTCACTAGTTCTATCGCTATCACTAAATTATGATAATTTAATTGATTGTAATTGTATATATGTATATCAAAATTTAATTGCAATTAATGTTTCAATATGCCTGATAATAAAAAAGAAGAATGAGATCGATTAGTTGATTAAGTTCTCCTCCTGTCAGCACTGATTAATTAAACAAAAGATATAATCAACCATTTTTCATAATGTCAATAAAGTAATGAAATATTCAAAAAGAATCACCTATGCATATTTGTCAACACCAAAATTATATGTTAAACCAAAGAAAACAAAATATGAAAAAGCTGAGGAGACATTATCAGATAAAAGTTCAGAACATGACGATACAGAAAACGTTACCCTTCCCTCTGAAGAAAGTGTAATTGAAGAGGCTGAGAGCTCACCAACTATTAATTACATTTCATCAAACAACGTTAGTATATATTCTAAAATATTGACAAGTATACTTACAAATATATAGGTCTTTGCCTTGAATATGACCTTATGGGACTATGTAGATTTTATAAATGAAAATTAATATTTCTAGCCATCTAGTAATCCAATTTAAATTAACTTTTTTTTTATTTTATAAGGCTTAGTAAGTTCTATTAAATAAAAAAAAACTTATTTAAATTGTATTATTGGATGGCTAGAAATTTCGATTTTCATTCATAAAATCTACATAGTCCTGTAAGGTCATATTCAAAGCAAAGACCCCATATGTTGTTTATGAAATATGAATATATCAACCTTAATATTATATAAATCATTTTAAGAAGCTCAGAAAAACACATAATGAGAATATCAATAGCTACTAACCTTCGTATAGGTCATTAGTTAATACCTTAGAAGAAGTATCAGTCGAATATGACGAATCTAATGCAGATTCAATATATGATAGTAGAAATAATGATCAGTTATTTGACTCTATAGATGTCTTAATGGACAGTGATGAATCTGACGCTACAGATAAAGTAAATAATATTTTAGAAGATATGTCCTCTGACTTTGAGGATTTTGAAAGTGATTATGATTCATACTTTCTGAATTTTATATCGGCAATGCTCTTCATTTGGATTACTAAACATATGATTTGTAAGTATTCTTTCAATATACTGGTCAAAATTGCTATTTTAAAAAGAATTCAACATGCCGAATAACACATTTTGACAAGGGAACTGATATTTATTACATAAATGTAGTCTCTTACAGAGTTTATCAGAATTTAATTAAGAATAATAAAGTATATAAATGTATATTTTATAAACTCTTGTATTTTTATGCAAGAGATTTATAAAAATATAAATATATATATATATATCATTATTTTTTTTTTTTTATAATTCGGCAATCCTGCCTCTGTTTATTTGAGATTAAGCTATTTAAGAATTATATATTTCTATACATTTCTATCTGTAGCTATTGCTAATCTAACCAAACTAGAGACTCACCCTCGGCTTACGGCCAGGTGCGACCTGCCTCAGTAGTCCTTGGCCTCCCTCCGGATCTTTAACTCACTAAGGATTTGTCCCTTCGGTCATAGGCTAGCGACTACCCGCCTTGTCAGTACTGCCAATTAAATCTGTTTTAACTTTACATCTTACCCATGAAGACCAATTTGGTTTTTTACTATCCCACACTAGGTTTTCCATGTTTCTGAATGCTACTGCTTTTGCATCTTTTTTCTTCTTGTTTTTCTGTTCTCCTATTTGTACTTGATTTTCTTTGTTTTCCTTGTTTTCTTTTTTCTTTTTCTTCTTTTTCTTGTTGGCCTTTTTCGTCTTCTTATCCTTCTTCGAGATTCCTTCTCTTTTTTCCCATTCT